TTCCTTGAGCCACCCTGGATGTGTGCCATGGGTCACCAAAGAGCATGGCTTCATTATGTATACTAGAAGTTCTTGCTACTAGAGTAAATGTTACTTTATAACTACGTTATTTCACAGCAGGAGTATTTAAGCCAACTCCTTTACCCACCATATGTGTGAACTCTGGCTCTGAGCTTTTGTAGCTCTGCTTTAAGTTACTATTTACCAGGCAATCAGTGTCTCTTGGACCCAAGTGGCCCATCATAAATCAAATTCCTCCAACTAACCCCCCACCCCCCACCCCCAGTCTTTCAGGAGGTGCTCTGAACAACAAAGTCCCAGGGAACATCAGAGGCCTCTGCTGGTATTTTTCCATTCAAACCTCCTTTGAGGCATAAAGACCTTCTTGGCCCAGAGGGGCAGTGACTCACTTAGCACGTGGGTTTCTTGCTCCAATTTCCTCCCAAGCATTCTTAATCGGTTTGCTGATGACACTTCCCATGTCCACAAAAAATAAAGAATAAGGGGTCCGGGGACAAAGCCTGGTTAATTGGACTGCTGACTCAGGGCCTGCTGGGGCTGCATCCACTGGCCCCAGGGGCTGCTGAATGGTATTTGCTACTCTGTGTCCCGCCAATAAATCTCATTTTCCCTATAAATCTAACTCCTGTGAGCACTTTCTGCATTTCTTAACTTTAAACTAATTAGCATTTGTCCATCAACCTAATACAACTATAATATATGCAGATTCAGGATGCCTGATCTGTATTTATTTTCTATACTTCTGAACAGCAAGAATGCTGTATGCCATTAGCAATTTAAGCCAGAAAAAGGCTTAAAAAAAAAAGAATACAAGGAAATAAAAGAGAATAGATATATGTTTATGAAGGGGCAGAGAGAGAAGGGGGAAAGGAAAAGAGCATGAAGGGAGGGAAGAAAATTCCACTGAAGATTAAAACCTTAAAGACACAGTGTACTATAGTGGATAAAAAAAATTCTGTCAACCTTAGGCAAGACATGACATCTCAGTACCTTATGTCCAAAATTACTTTCTTTTACCAGATGCTGTTTCCACAACTTGAATTCTCTGCCCTGATGAACTCTCAAGTCTGGACAAAAAATGAAGGTGAAGGAAATGGATGCTTGGGGGAAGTGGGGTTGCCTCACTGTCTCTTTCCCAGCCCACTACTATCTATCCCAAAGAAAGGCAGGGGAACTTTGGGGAAAGGGTTGGGGGAGAGAGAAGAAAACATGATACTCACTTACAGCACTACTTTAACTACCATGTGGGTGCTTTTTCCTTTATTTTCTTATCTTCATTTTAGAAGATGACAGAAAACAGGAGCTGCAGTCAACTTCAATGACTGAGTCCCAGCATTCTTTCATATGAGCTATTTACACAGGGATCACAGTCATTAGAGCACAGGACAGAATGGGCCTCAAAGCTAGGAAAACCTGGGGTTCAAGTCCCTCCCAATCACTTCTCACCTTCTCAGTGGGTTGGTCAGTAAGTATATATTTCGCTCAGAACTGTACTATGAGCTAGGGATATCAAGAATGGGGAGGCAGGGGAGAAAAGGGAGGGTGCTCTCAGCACTCAGGCCAAACCAGATGAAAATGTAACATAATTAGAAAATATTTAACAAATAAATAAAATAAAATAAAACAAAACATATTTAACACTATTTTACAACCAAATCAATATGCAGACTTCAGGATTCTTATGTGCTCCTCCCCCCTTTCTATCTGAATCTGACACCACTACTCCAGATAACTGTTCCAGGTTTCAAGTACCCTGCATCGGTCCTTGCCAGGGAGTTCCCTAAACCAATAGAAATCACAGAGCCTGCCCCAATCCCCCAGAAGAGGTGACTACCTACCATCCGCTCCCTCCATGCCCAAATTAAGCTCTGATGCTGTGTCTTCTCTAAGAGATTGTCAGGAATTGGACAACCTTAAACATAACAAATATACAAATGATAACAGCAAAGTACCACTTCCTGTTCCACGTCTAAGTTCTACCCTTGGTAGCTCAAATTTGGGTTGTTGTTTTTTTTTTTTTTGGCTTTGTTCTGTTTTTTGGTGAGGCAATCAGGGTTAAGTGACTTGTCCAGGGTCACACAGCTAATAAGTGTCAAGTGTCTGAGGCTGGATTTGAACTCAGGTCCTCCTGACTCCAAGGCTGGAGCTCTATCCACTGTACCACCTAGCTGCCCCCAGCAGCTCAGTTTTTTAAACTACATTTTCACCTGGCATAAAGAAATAGGGAGGGCCTGAGTGTGGTCAAGTAAAAAGGACATGGTAGCCCCAGTTGGGGATCCTAGCTCTGCTGCTTCCTTACTATCTATGTGACCTTGGGCAAATCATCTCAACTCTCCAGGCCTTGATTTCCTCATCTTTAAAGAATGAGGAGGCTGGACTCAAACATCCCTTCCAGTTCTAAAAATCTGATCATACAAAATCTAGTTGTCAAAGGTCTTGTGCTCCACTTCCTCCAGAAGGCAGCTCTCTCTTCAAATTTCATACTTAAAAAAAAAAAAGACAAGAGGGGAAAAGAGAAAAGAGAAAATGTTCTAAAGAAGTATATTGCTTGTGTGCCTCAGGCACACAAGGGAATTAATCTGAATAGTTAGAAATCACAGCATATGAGATACTCTTCGTTAATGCAATCAAATTTTGCTACATTTCCTCCGAATTTCACATAAATGTTTGGTCTCATACTTTTAAAGTTAAGTGTCCTTTTCAATTGAATCACACTAACAATTCATACAAAAGTGTGACAGGATGAGAGCCTGAACACTGGAAGGGACCTCAGAAGCCAGCCAGTCTGACCGCCCTTATTTTTTGGAGATGAGGAAACTGAGTCTTATGGTGTGTTAACTAAATAGCCAAAGTTCCTTCTTGATTTAGGCCTAGTAATCAAATCAGCATTACCTTGGCTTCTGAACAAGCCTGAAGCCCCCCCTCTGCCTGTGCCTCTCTAGGCCTTAACTCCCTTCCCTGGGCAGCTACTCCTACACTATGTCTCTTCTATCGTTTTAAAATTGTTATGCCCTAGGATTACAAATAAAATGCAAAATAAGGACCTCATATTCTAATGAGGGGAAACCATGTACATTATGAATGTGTATGCATAAGGCCTACTGAGTAGAGAGAAGGAAGAAAGTAGACAGAACCTTAGTGGATAAGATGCTAGCAGGTGAGGAGACAAGGAGAGACCTTGGACCAAAGGCGGAATCTGAGCTGACTTCTCAAAGAATTCAGGCATTCTAAAAGGCAGAGGTGAAAAGTGAGAGCATGCCAGGCATGAAGAACATCCAGTGCCAAGGTGTGGAGATGGCTTGTGAACAACAGTCTGGTGCATCAAGATGTCCAGAGTGTCTAGTATGTGGAGGAGAGTAATGTAAGCAAAGATTAGAGAAGCCCTGGAGCCAAGAGGAAAGCTTTCAAAGCCAAAAGATAAGAGATTTGAATGCCAAAAAGATCCTAGAGGCAACAGGAAGGCATGAAGTTGAAAGAGTACAATCTACACTTTAGGGAAATCACTTTGGCAGCTGAGTGGAGAATAAACTGGAGTGGGGTGAGACTTAAGGCACGGAGCCATTTAAGAGGCCACGTCCAGGCAAAAAGTGACCACCACCTAAACTAGGAAGGTGGCTGTCAGTGGAAAGAAGGGGATGCAGTTGAAGGAGGTGGTGGATTTGGGAACTGACTAGCTATGTGTGGAGAGTGAAGTCAGGTAAGGACAGCAGGATGATACCTAGGCTGCAAGCCTGGAGGACCAGTACCTTTGACTGTAAGTAATAGGAAAGTTCAGAAGACTAGAAGGGCTGACTAGAAAAGATGATGAATTGTGTTTTGGACATACTGAGTATGAGACTCTGATGAGACATCAAATTCAAGACGCAGTGATGTAGTTCTGAGCTACTGCACAGAAGAGAGATTTGGTAGGACTGGATGAAAGCTCTGGGAATCATCTGCGTAAAAGATAGTAATTAAGCCCAAGGGAAGCTGTGAGATCAGCAAGCAAGATAAGTACACAGAGGCCCAGGTGGAGAACTGGGCCTAGGACAGAGCCCTGGAGGACTGCCACAGTAGCAATAGAGGGTATCACTGAGAATGGGGCCTGGGTGACTGGGAGGATAGAGGCTGCCTCACTTATTTTATTTGTATACCTAGAACTTAACCCAAATGCCTGTCACACAGTAAATACTTAATGTTTTTTTTTCCCTTAATTTATTTGTTTTACTGAGGTATCACTTCATTAATCCACAATGGCCTTGAAGTAACAGATTTAATATATATTTTTGTGGGGTGGGGATGGAAGAATAAGGAGGCAAACACTTGACTTCACCCATATGGAAAATTCCTGGTATAGAAATTCCCTCTACTGACACAAAATGAAAACTCACTAAATGATTCCTCAGATGCTCAGTCACTTGCCCATGGGAGCCACAAACTTAAACTGGACAAACACTCACACATTTCTAAGTGGCACTGCTTGGCAGGAATTCACTGATCTGTCTACGTAACAGACATCTTAAGAGCACAGTGAAATGTTTAGTCCACAGTAGGTACTTCCACAAATGCTTACTGATTGATAAGGATTGTGGATTTGAATGCAATCTCAAACATTAATTATTACCTATGTGAAAAAGTACTGGGCTAGGTGTTGGGGATATACACATCCTTGAAGGGCTTCCATTCTACGTGAGGAAAGCAATACATATCCAGAGAAGGCTCCAGCTAGGGCTTAGCCATAACTCACTTCACCAGACGGATTTAACCAGCTGCCAAATGGTCCCCTTGGAACCCTGTCTCTTACAAGCGAATGAGGTGAAGTAAGTATAAAAAGGCAGACTAGAATCCATTTTAAAAGAATTATCCTTCACAACAGAAATATTAACAGGATCCTTTTAAACTAGATTGCACAAAAGTACCTTGTCTATCCTTACTAGGTGTTCCCTATTACAAATACCATATCCCATCTTATCATTGTAACAACTATATTTCAAACCCACCTTAAAGCTGTGCAGGCTACTACAAATTGGAACAGCTGGCAGTTTTTTGAAACTTATTTCCAAGGCTGTCCTATTGAGATGATAATTTCCTTCTATACATCCTAAGGGGGAAAAAAGGACAATTACAGATTTAGCATCCAGGATGCTTTCACATGTTTTGGTTCCTGGCAACAATTTCTTCCTATAGCTGTAATAGAGAAAAAGCATGAAAATTGGCTGTAATCCCAGGTTTGTCCCCAATTATAGCTGTCTAGTACTCTTCATTACTAATCTAATTAGCTACTAATCTTTATGGAAACTGATGGGTTCCCCAAGTCATAAACTTGAAGATGATCCACAATTTTTATTACAATGCTCTTCAGTCCCATTAGAAAAGGGTACAAAAGCAAGGACCTATTAACTATTAACTGGTAGTAGAAAAGATTAATATTTTTCTCAGACTCATATCTTTGACCAATCTTTCAAATGACACAGAAAACAGATAAATTTCCAAGTTCAGAATAATCACTTGCTCTTGGGTTCTTCAAGGGTTTCATCAGTGCCACACTCCCTTCTGGAAACCCTCTAACACCTCTGGAGGTAACCGTACTGAAAAAAGGATCCCTTAGCACCAGATGGGCCAATGCACTTACCTAGCTGAGCGGAGCTGCAGCTAGCACCACTAGCAAGTCCATGACTGTGACTCAGGTAACAGACCAGGGGCTTGTTCTCCACCAACATGACCTCAAATACCTAAGGATCATCACCACACCACTGTGAGACACTGAAACAGGAATGACTGATTGAAGTCCTCCTTAGCCATATGGCCCCATTAATCAAAAACCACAACATCCTTTGTAGTAAATAATTCCATTTCACCTAGATTTCATCCTAAATGGGGGATGGGTTCTGATCCGCATCTGTGAGAAGAGTCCCCTTTCACTGTAGCCCCATGGGAGTTTCATTCATAGAAGCATATAATTTAAAAATATCAGCTTTGGAAGAATGGGTTCCCATCTGTGTCCTGTAACCCTAGTCTTAGAAAACAGCACATTCACTAAACATGATTTTGATAATGTATATATTTCTCTAAGTTTTAGAACTCTCTCCCTTTATGTTTTCAAACAATGCCCTTCATATGGTTAATGTTAATGTATACATGTCATAAGCTCAATTTTTCCCCTTGTTCTAGCAAGCGCTTTTTTTTTGTTAAGTGTAACAAGTTTCCTATAGCTACTTCTAAGTAGGTGCTCTCCCATCGTACAGGCTGAGTAATAATAAGTAGTACGTTCTAATTTGAAAGAGCATTCTCACATACTTCATATGCCTTGATACCACCTCTCCAAATAGGCCCATTTCTACCACTAACCAAAACCATACTACAGATACCTTCAATTCAGACAGGCCATTTCCATTCATCAATCTAATGACTTGGTTCATGGGTTAATTTGCTTCTCTTCAAATAAAAAACTACCATGGAGATAGAAAGGACAGGTGCCTTATTCTGACATTTCATCCCCAAGAAAGAGGAAGATTGGGATTCTCTTGTACCTTCCCAGGGACTATATTCCCCATTCGTTACCCATAAGTACACCTTAAGTGTTATCATTTTATATAAGCATCTAAACAAAACTACTGGAAGGGTTCTGTATCAGACCTAAGTTTAACTGGTGAAACAGAAACTCGAGTTAAGAGGCTAGCACAGAATTTTATTAACTTAAAACATGGTGTCAGGCTTTACATCAAATAAATGAACATTTTTAATTTTCCTTAAGTCATGTGTTTGAACGAGGTCATTAATGTTAGGCTTCATTAATAAGAATTTACGACAACTGGATATGGCTAGGTTTGAGGCTCATCTCTACCAAGTAAATGAATCCTTTCCTCAAAATAAAAAGATAACAGAATCATTGGGTGAATGCTGGGAGCAAAGGCAGGCTTCTTTGGAGCACTATAAAAACACAGTTTAAATTCAACTGACAAGTGTAGGGCAAATGATTATCTGTTCACTAAGGAGATCCCAAAAGGATCTCTGTTACATCTCACTTTCCTAGCCTCGTTTGAGTTGTCATATGGATACGGAAACAAACTCAACTTTCTTTAAATTAGGCTTTAAGGCAGGTTATTATCTTATGATACCCTTTCTCCCTCATGAACTCATATTTGTGAAAATTTTCTGTTTGTTAAGTTATGGCCGAGGGACATTGTTGTCTTTTCCAATCCATCTTAAGATGGGGAAATGAGGTTTATGCTATTCAAGTATCACATATTTTGTGTAAGATGACATATAAATATGGCTGAAGTCTTAATAGTCTTGTGTTTGTACTGTATTGATTTCTTTTAATCTAAATGATTTTAGAAATTGGTTCTAACCTACATTCTATTTTATCTTTAAAAAAAAAATGGAATTTCACTCTCCCCCCAAAAAGAGGAGCTCTAAACCTTGGGAGTTTGAAAACTCTCATTTCCAAGAATCAGGAAAAACTACTGCAATGTCTGAATCTTAGCTTAACCTGTATAACCCTGAGCAAGTCATTGGCTCCACCCAGGGCTTCAGTTTGTAAAATGAGGGGAAATTTCGGATGGAGGGGGAAAATAAATAAGGAGGTTCAACAAGATGAGTTTTCTCAAGGCTCTTCCAGCTCTAGATCATATGATCTATTTCAGAACATGCACTGATAAACAAGGATGGTAAGGATGGCTAAAGACTCCAAGATGGAAGCTTAAGGGACAAGGATATTTACCTCAGAAAAGACTTAAGGTTTCAGGACACAAAAGAGAACCCTATAAGAGGAGAGGGCAGGACCAGGAGAGAGCATTGGCTGTTAGGAAGAAGGGAGAGTTGATCTCTGATGGTGGCTTTTAGGTTTCTCCTGTGGTCCTGAATCTTTCCAGGGCCACTCCTTCCCTAGGCCTCTCTTCCTTTTTTCTTGGGAGATGCAATGAAGCTTTATGTACTTTACTGCCTTCTAACTCATTGTGCAATAGGCATCTCAAAAGCAACATGTCCAAAAGTCAATGTTATCTTCCCCCTCTTCAGAATTTCCCTTTCTCTTGTCAAAGGCACCACAATGTTCTAGTCATGCAGGTTTGTAACCTCGCATCATCTTCTAGCTTATCTAATACTTGACGAAAAGTTGCCAAATCTTATCAATTCTATTGTCCACAAAATTCCTCACACACTCCTCCACTCACTTGGCCACCACCCTATTTCAGGTTTTCATTCTAGTCAGTTGTTATAAGGTTAAATAAACTCAGCATCAAAAAAATCTGAGTTGGAAGACCCTGCAGAAGTTAACATAAGCCAAACCTGTTTGAGAATTCTCTCTCTGATACACCCAACAAGTAGGCCATCTCAGAGGTTTAATACCACAACAGAGTACATCCTTAACAGTTACACAATGCAAGGAAAGCATAGGAAATATAAGATCCCACTGTGCTTGTCTATTAACTAAAAAAAAAAAAAGATGGAACAGCAAAACACTCCTTCAACCAGATGTCTCCTTTGTATATATTAAAGTATATAAGATTCTTGGAAACATAACAGAGGGCTTTGTGAAGTGAGGCATAAAACTGGCCATCACATTGCCAAAAAGTGTTCACCACCACCACAAAGAATATCCATATCTAGCACATGGTTGAAATGGGAAGTCTCCAGAGGCTGTTGTACTGAATGGCCCTACATCCTGGAAACATTACAGAGCCTCCAAGATGAAATCCATAATCACCCCAAAGAGTTTGCCTTAACTCTTCACAAAGAACAACTGGCTTCCTGATAGCACAGCCTGCCCAAAAGTTCCAATGGCTGTTATGAATAAACTGCCTTAACTACCTCTATTTATCCAATCTCCTCTAGGACAGCAGAGAAACCAAATAAATTTCATCTCTGGAGAATGCTCAGCTTCTCCTATGGAGCCTGTCAGTTTGCCCATACATTTTTAATGAGGAACTTGACACTAATCTTTTGTTAGATATCAAACCACTTTACAATTTGCCAAAATATCATTTTGGTGCATCTCCCACACATTTAAAAACGTCTCTACTTTCATCATGTGTATTAAGTTAAATTTCTCTTACTGTCCAAAATAATTAACATAACTGACAATAAAAACAAAAGGTCACTGAAAATTGAGATAAACTGAATTTAATAGAACAATGATACAGTTTACCATATGATCCCAAAGAGAAGCACAAGATTCAGTCAGTATTGACAGTCCTGGGTTCCATGCCCAGAAAAGACCCTTATTTACTAGGTCTGGGACTGTAAGTCAAGGTATTTCTTGGAGCCTCGGTTTCCCTGTCTATAAATCCTCCCTACACTAAAGGCTGGAGGTGGGGGAAGGATTAAGAAAGGAAGTGACTCTGCCAATCAGTGAAAGCATTATATAAAAATAGGCTATTACTTGTGTTACAACAAAGCTACTTACAAGTAGGAAGGAATATTAACCTACATAGGAGGGAATTTTAGTTTTTCTCAAGTGCTTAAAAGAAACTTTCTTCCCTACAGTTCATGAAACGATAATATGATAGAGAAACAGTTTAGATTATAGCCCAACTATAGAAAGCCTGGAACAGAAATTAATAAAATCAAGAGAAAAGCTTTAAACTGAAAAAGTACTGAAACTGGTCCTAAACAGAACTAGAAATCTTACTGGTTTTCACATGTCAAATGTCACCCTAACTGCCTTATCATTACAGAGATGCTTTCTTGAGAATCCCCAAATGTTCCATACGCTAAAGTTAACTGAATTTTTAATGATCCACTAAAGTTTTTAATCCTACTAATGAAAAAAACTGCACAGGAAATGCAACTCTATGCCCGATGAAAGAGCTGTTCTTTTGACCATCACTGACAGGACTATTCAGCTCACAGTTTTATTCTTTTTTAAAAAAACAGTAATAATAACCAAAATATCTGTCTTTATGAATGAACACAAAAATTAATGAAAGCAAATTAGGCCATGGGACCACAGAAAGCCCACACCCACCCCACCCCCCCAAAATAAAGGGAAAAAAAGGAGTAATGAATTTGGAGTCAGAGACGCTGAATTCTAATTCCAGCTCAATCTCCTCTGATCTCTGAGACACTCACCGATGTAAGGCCTTAGATGCCTCATCTATACAATACATGGATTGGGTTTACTTTTATGATTCTAGGATGATTCTGAAGGGCAGCAGGGGTTTACTGATAAAGAGCTCAGAGTCCTGAAGACCTGGGATTAAATTCCACCTTTGACATATAAGGGGTCTAGGAAAGTCTGGGAAAGCCTCTTTGATGGTCCAGGCAAAGAAAAGAAGCTACAGCACAGGGTGATATGCATGGGTAGAGAATTTCCTATAACCAGGAAATCACAGATCCCATACCTTTTCCTAATCACCCCCAAAAAGAATAACTCTATTAGGCTCAGTAGGGGGGAGTGGAAATGATCTCTACAGCGAATAAGGCAATCATAAAGTGAAAAGTCATGAAGTTGACTGTGGTGCTTAATTCTATTCAACAAAAAATTTATTTCCCTTTTCAATAAATAAAAATAGTGATATATAGGCAACCATATCAACCAAGCAGACCACAAAGGGAACAAGACAGAAATAAGTAAATGATATTTCAACTCAGATCTAATTCCTCTCCTGTCCTTTGATATGACAATAAAAGCTGCTTTTCTTCTTGAACCATTTGCCTTTAGCTAACACCAAAGTATTTTTCAGAAGAGCTCTGTCATTAGTAGCGGACTGACAACTGTTTACAAAATCTTATTATTTTTTACTTAAAAATCAGCAGCATTAATAGCAGCGCCCTAGTCGTATCACACTGTGTCAGCTGTCAATCTATCCCCCTCCTCCTAGATCCTAAATCTAATCCTGACCTTGGTTTAACCACAGCATGGAAGAGGAACACATTAGAACACAACTGCCTGATGTCTGGGGTTATTATTAGTCTGGGTTTATTGATATGTGTAAAAGAGTGGAAGGACTCTTGGGTTTGTCTTAAAAATGGAGGCACTCTATATTTCCCCAAAGGCTCACTTTCTTGGATGAAACGCATGACCCCCTGAAGCTTCTTCGGTACTCTCATTTGCTTCCTGGAAAAGTAGTCCACTAGTTTAAGATGTTTTTGATTTAATGTTTAAATGTGTTAAACGGTTCTAGAGATTAACTCACGGAATCCGCCCAGAAAGGTCACTTCTTGACGAAAAGAACAAGTTAAAACTTTCAGCTAGTACATTATATTTCTCACAAATTATTTAGCTGCCATTCATTTTCCCAGAAAACTGTATTTTATAGTAGAAAACAGGATGTGTAACTGAAGATGCTGACAAGCCCCCAAGTGTCTACAACAAATAACACAAGTCCTCTCTGAACTGAGCTAGACTGGTCCTTCATGACAAATAAGCCATTAAATACCAGATTGAGACCTGAAGCCTTGTGCATTTGGTAGACTCTGCCAAAGTGTATGGCAGGAATTTATTAGTGGTGTGTATGTATGCAGAAGGTTTTTAAAAGCACTGCAAAATGCTACCTACTGTCAAAAATCCTTTTTATATAAATATGATCAGTTTGCTCAAAGTAGTAAAGCTTACCATTCTGCTGCCTGGTGGCAACCACAACATAAGAGAAAATCACTACCTAGGTGTTGGCTGGGATTTATTAGAAGGGGACATTTTGATGACAAGGAATAAATATGAATCCAACTTTACCGTATTGAATTGTGACATAAATAAAACAGACCAGCCAAGACAAAGTTGTTGTACGGCTCCACTCCCTCATTTTATTTGTCTCAGAGGATCAATCAGTTTCACCTGATTGGGTCACCCTGGGAGTCAATGGAACAACATGTACAAGAAACCTTGGTCCACTCTACTCTTTACTCTCCCACCTTCTTCAGTTATATCCAACGTGGGCAGCTCTTCCTTTCAATCACATGTTCAATAAAGCTTTATTCCCCTATAAAAGACCATCTTGTGCATGGCAGGGACTGTGCCCTGTGTACCTAGAAGAGGCTTCATTCCTGCTTACTGAGTTCATCTAAATCAAAAGAAAGGCTTCCCTTTTTAAATTACTCAAAGCTTAGCCTGGCAGTCAGTCACCAAATCTACAAATCAGACAGAGAGGGGACAGAAAAGAACAGGGCTTTACTACTAAAATGGCACCTGATCAGTCACACAAACTCTTACATTTCACTCCCCCATATATTACACAAAAGGCAATCAGTTTAGTGTGTGACAAGAGATGAACTTGAATGTTATTGGGGATACATAATAGGTAAAAATTAATTTAAAGGAAGTCTAGATGGAAAGAAAGAAAATCACACAGGAGCTACTGTAAATCAACAAAATATTTAAATATGACCAGAAAATTTCTTTTGTAAACTTAAAGCACTAAACCCAACTTTCAAAACATTAATATGATCATCATTAAATACCAGTTTTTTTCATCCTCTTCAAATTAGAATGAAGAGGTTCTAAAAGCTCCACTCTGAAAACCTGACAAATATTTAAAATCTATAAAGTTAGTTTCTGCTTTGTTATATGTCATTACTTAAATGTGAGTAACTTTAGGTATAAATCATCATATTCTGATTCCAACTAGAAAGATATTCTCTTACCATTGGCAGTACATTGATGTGGGGAAGCTCAACTTATTTGGTACTTCCAATCACATGGAGCTGATACTAAAGGAAAAAGAAAATAAGGTGTTGAGTGTGTCTTAACAAAAAGAAATTTAAGAAATATATGAACAAGCAGAAAAAAACAACATCCCACTTGTCTGGTAGTCAGATATTAAAAAAAAAAAAAATAAAAGAATCTCAGAGCTAAGGGGGACCTTAGAGGATTAGATGGACTAAGGCCATCCCATCCCAAAAAAGAAGCCCCTCTTCAGCAGAGAAAAGAGTTGGAGAATAAGGCATCCAGGGGAAACCCACTATTTTCCAAAGTAGCCCATTCCACATTTAGATGACTAATTATTAGAAGGTTGTTTCATAGAGGTGTCAAACTCAACAGCCTGCAAAACTGTCATGGAGCCCTAAGTAGATTAAAATGCAATTGGGAACTGCTTAACAAAACAAATAAAAACATACCACAACATAAATAATATTAATTTGTGGTTTTCTAAAAGTCAATATGCCACTAGGATAGATAGGTGGCACAGTAGATAGAGTTGGGCCTGGAGTCAAGAAGACCTGAATTCAAATGGCTTCAGACACTTACTAGCTGTGTGCTCCTGGGCATGTCACTTAACCCTGTTTGCCTCAGCTTCCTCATTTGTAAAATGAGCTAGAGAAGGAGATGCCAAACCATTCCAGTATCTTGGTCAAGAAAACCCTGAATGGGGTCACAAATAAAAGGAATGAACAACAGCAACAAATCAATATGCCACCAGCAGGGCTTTGCCTCTACCTGAGTTTGGCATCACTGCCTTAGATCAATTTGAATACCCCCGGCTACTCTTCTATCCATGGGGGATAATCCTCCTTCTCCACTACTGCCCTCCAAATACAGGAAGAGAGTGATGCTGTTCCCCTCAAGTCTTCTATTCTCCAAACTAAAGAGCCTCATCCCCACAAAGCTGATCTTAAGGCCCTTCACCACCTGAATCATCTCCCTTAAGGATAACAATTGGAGTGCTTAGCACACATTCAGCACTTAATAAATGCTTGTTTGGTTCCCTCCCCTTTCCACTTTCCTCTTCCCCTCCAGCTTAACAATGTCCTTCATTAAATAGAGCACCCAGAACCAAATACAATATTACTAATGTGATCTGATCAGGAAACAGACTATCTACAGGGGTAAGGAACCTGTGGCCTTCTAGGTCCTCGGGTGCCTTTGACTGAGTCCAAGTTTTACAGAACAAGTCCTTTTATTAAAGGGATTTGTTCTGTGAAGTTTGGATTCTGTGAAAGTGCTACACTTGAGGACCTAGAGGGCCGCATGTGGCCTCGAGGCTGCAGGTTCCCCACCCCTGGACTATCACCTCCCTAGTTCTAAATGTCCTCTTAATGTAGTCCAAGACTGCACTGCCCTTTAGGGCCTACAATATTATTCTTTTGATTTAACTGCTTCCAGTACATTGAAACCTCAGATCCTTTTTTTTTTTGAAGGGGTTTAAACTACTGTCCAGCAACATGTTACCAACCTGGTACTTGGGAAGTATATCTTTAAAAAAAAACAAAAAAAAAAAACAAAAAAAACCCCCAAGACTTTAAGTCTATTACCAAAAATTTCAAATTTCTTTATTTAAGCCAATTTTTTAGATCTCCAAGATCTCAAGATCAGTTTTCCAGGCCTCCATAGCAGCTTTGTGTCATTTGAAAATTTAATAAGAGTGTGTTCTATGACTTCATTCAAGTCATATAAACAAATGCTCAACAGCATAGGGCCTCTTAAGCATGGCTTTCTCTATGGCACTCCAATATTCTCAATAGTCCTGGACCCAGAAAAGTCAAGAGACCAAAAATGAGCACGGACCAAAGAAAGGCGTCACTAACTAGCCCAGAGAGAAGGGTTCTCACTGGTTGGCCACGGCAGTGAAAGCCAGGTGGGACTGGAACCAAAGCTGAAAAGTACAGGAAAGTTGTAGTAAAAAGGAAAGAAGGGAAAAGGGCAGTGGGGTGACAGAAAGCAGAATCAACCACAACTGCAACCAGAGTAGGTAATAAAAAAAAAAAAAACAATGACTAACAGGCTACTGGCTTCCATAAAGTCTCTGCAGATACATGTAGTTTAACACACTACTTGTTCAAACTGAGGCATGACTTTTTAAAAGTTGAAATTATAATCAATAAATTGTTACTTTTGGAAAGACTGATTTCAAACCTTGTTTCAAATTGGAGCTTTTAAAGAAAGGGTTCCCATCAGTTATCAAACATGTCCAGAGCTCCTATGTACCCCTGACATACCTAAGCTATTTCTGAGCCAGTCTTTCAGGGACTCAGGGATGAGGGAAGATTTGAACAGGCCACCCTAATCTAAATGTCAGGCTATACTCTATAGTTAATTCACATCACCTGCCCAGGCAGGGTCTTTGGGGCCCTGAAGCTTGGACCTGTGAACTTACAAGTCATCTAGCTTAGCCTGGCTCTCAATCTATCTGGAGACAAATGAAGATCCAGAGATAAAGAATGAGTCTAAAATTTGGGCCTGATGGATTTCCAAAAGCCAGATCATACTATTCAAAGACTTTATAGCTCTACGACACTTAGATAAATAAGAAAGCCTATTCAGGAGCACTCTATTATGCACATATAAATTCGACCACAACAGCAACGACAACAGAAATGAGCAAAACCATGTTCCGACTTCCCCCCTCAGCTTCTTCTTCATCGACAACTCGTTTCTACAGTCCTACATAACTTACAGCAAAGCCTAGAGAAGAAACATACAATGCATTAAGTAAACACAAAGTATGAACGTTTAAATCTACGCACCCGATATAAGAATGTGGTCCTCACACCACAAAAGGAATCTCTGTTAAGGATTTTTTTTTTAAACAAACCTTTATCTTCAAGCATTCAGTTTAAAGTTTGCTGCTGCTGAGGAGCAAGGATGGTACAATACTGGGTCCCCACAAAAGAGGTGATCCCTGGGAAAGGCAGCCTTTGGCCCTTCCAACTACCTGGGCTAAAAAGCCATGCCCCTCCCAGCTCCAAGAGGAAAGAAAAACAAGGCAAGGCAGAGCTGGGCCTTTCCCATGTACAGGCCCAGCTAGAGTCAGGAGGGGAGGAAAGCCCAAGTAGCAGGCTCACTGGACAAAAGCAGCTAGATCCTCTCTCCTGGGGAAAAAAATGAAGGCTAGAGATAGATGTAAGATCTAGCCGTCTATCATGGGAGGTAACAGAGGCAGGCCTAGTACGAACAACACATATCTCACCACTTTGAGAGTAGACGCAGCTCTTAGACCAGGGTGGCCTAAGATGCACCCACCAGCCCACCACATCATGGGTTGAAGGAGGGGGCAGAGTAACAAGTCAAAGTTAACTGGGAGGCAGAGATACACCCCTGTGGCCAAGCCCTTAAGAAGATCAGAATGAAAATATGAAACTCAAGAGAAGATTCGCAATAAACCAGTAAGAGAAAAGGCAGACAGTAGGTGCCCCTAAATTCATATGTGACAAAGAATCAGCTTTTCAAAGCGTATCAGTTTAACAACTGGTCTTTCCAAAAAAGTCTGGACAGAATGGAGAGCCAGCCCAGTGCCGTACAATGGATTGGGCATCAGAAACCTTGACTCCAACAGGCATTCACTGCTAACTTTGGGCAGGTTCCTCCACTCCTGAGGCCCAGTCTTTTCATATCAGAAATGAAGGCCACCAAAGGAAGGAAGGAAGGACACTTCAAGGACCCCCAAAAAGCTAGCCCAGAGATTGGCATTCTCTTAAGGAAAGATTCTTCCTCCCACCCAGAATTGGGAGAAGGAAAAAGGCAAGGGAAGGAGCTATGGATCACATTCTCCTGGTTTCCCTGGATTCTTTCAGGTAAAAACCCCAACTTCTGCAAGAAGCTTTTCCTGATCTTCCTTAACAATACTGCCTTCCCTCTGTGATTATCTCCAATTTATCTTGTATGTATCTGGTTTGTTTGTAGCTGTTTGCATGCTGTGTCCTCCATTAGCCTGTGAGGAGCTTCTTGAAAGCAGGGCCTGTCTTTTCAGCCTTTTTTTTGTAATTCCAGCACCTAGCACAGTGCCTCGCACACAGCAGGGGCTTAATAAATGCTTGCTGATTCGACTACTTGATCCAATCCAGCACATATGTAAATGGAAGCTTTAAATAAAGAACCCCAAGATTTCAGAGTTGGAAGGAACACCATCATCCACCAAAGTCATCCAATTCATGCTAAAAAGTGCACTTCCCACACGGATTACGTCCTCCCCCACCTCCAGCAGCAGCTAGGGAGCAATTCTCCCAACTACAGGTGAATGGGCAGGAAAAATCAAGGAGGAGGGACATTTACTCCAGAGGCTAATGATGAGCCAATCCCATCGCTTTCTCTTCAACCATTACTGCCGATAATCTAATGCTGAGGAACCAGAAATGTCCCAGTCCCTCCAAGCCCAGGTTGATTATGGTTCTCAGAGTGTTTATTAGTGAAAATAAAATGATTCACAATGAATTGTTCTATTGTAAGAGACCTGCCCACAGGTCAGCTGCAAGTAACATTCCTCTAAGACAAGTGTTGGCCTTACCTCAAGCTTCTGACATGTCTACTGCAAGAACACTTAACAAAGCACAGACCAGGGGCAGCTAGGTGGCACAGTGGATAGAGCACCGGCCCTGGATTCAAGAGGACCTGTGTTCAAATCCAACCTCAGACACATAACACTTACTAGCTGTGTGACGCTGGGCAAGTCACTTAACCCCACTGCCTAGCCAAACAAACAAACAAAAACCAACAACAAAGCACAGACCACATGCTAGTGGGAGAAAAATGGATAGTTCCTATTTATAAAGTAGATTCTGTCTCACGTGACAACTGTGAGTGACAGAACCTAATTCGGAGTGTCCACCTGGTGCTGTAGTCTAAGCCTGGCTGGGGAAAATTCCACAGTGATTTTTTTGAATGTTGGCTGACTTTTCTGTTGATGCTCAAGGAGCCCCTCTGACCTCTAACTAATCTAAAAGAGTGAGTTCTGCCATCAGAGAAGAGAGGAAGAAAGGAGCAGAGAGTAAGAGGA